TTACCTCGTCCCCATGATTGGGTTAATCCCTACGACGATGTATTGTAATTTCATGATTGGACTCATGCCATCCAAAGTGAAATCTTAATTTATTTTAACACCAAAATAGGATAAATACTAGTTTTAGTCCCTAACATTTAGCATAAATATTAAATATTATCCTAATCTTTCATTTGCACCAAAATAGTCTCAAACCTTTTTAAAATCACCAAACTTAATCCTACGTCTATTTAGTTTTATTAAGCCTATAATAAAAATCTAGTTGAAATTTACACAACCCATCCAAATCTTGTAAAATTCCAAGACCTAATCTTTGTAGGTTTTAAAACTGATATTTTTATATAAAAACTATGTTAATGAAAAAAAAAAAAGAGAAGAAGAAGAAGAAAAGAGATTTGGAATAAACAAATTAAAAAAAATTAGAGATTCGGGATTTCGCAAGCTTTCATCTATTTTAAGGGTCCTCTCGTGGGTCTCAAAAAACTCTAGTTTGGATTTCTATTAGGGACATAATAGAAAAAACTAACAGTGGAATTAGATTAAGGACCATTTTGGTTTAAATAAAAAGTTTAGATAATATTTAATATTTATGACAAAGATTAGGGATTAAATTTGGTATTTACCAGCCAAAATAACAGCATTTTAGATTTCAGCTGTAATAAATTTGTTGCCAAAAAGTAAGCTGTAATAAATTCCTCTTCTGGTGGTGACACCAAACACTTTATTTATTTTTTTGGTACATAGGAAACTAAATTAAAGTCTAAGGTCTAAGGAACATAGTCCCAATAGTGTCTCCATGCATGAGCATACTGATCCCGACAGGTGGATTTTGGTAAAAAGTGGTGCCCAAGGGAGATTTGTGACCCAGGGAGGCCATAAAATCAGCAGCAGAATTCCCTTTGCTAAGCGTATGGCGGACAATACAGTTGCTGAAAGCATCAAGAAGCACAAGAATATCAGTAAGCAAGACAGAGAAAGGACCCTTCTCTACTTGCCGAGTTTGAATAAGTTGGATGGCCATTAATGAGTCCATTTCAAGGATTAGATGTTGCAGTTGTAGAGAGTGGGCAAGTTTTAACCCCTCATGACAGCCCCAAAGCTCAGCTAGAAAACTGGAAGTAAAACCAATGTTAACTGTGAAGCCGTGTACCCAACGACCCAAATGATCGCAGATTAATCCTCCGGCACATGCCCGTCCGGATTGATGATTCCGGGAGCCATCTGTGTTCAATTTCAAAAATGGTTGAGTAGGAGGTTGCCAACAGACCCATCTTGGCGTGCGAGGGGAAGCCAACATAGCTGAGTTTAAGGCAAAGTGAGTTTCCAAGGCATGTGATCTAGCTTGCCAAAACACAGCATCAGGAGGCGTCCATTTCCGCTCAAATATCAGTTTGTTCCTACTTTTCCATAGAAACCAAAGCATCGATAGAAATAAACTTGCCCAAGTGGTCGAGGTGGTACCCGAAGAGTGAGACTGCACTGAATTTATGGACAACTAATTATCAAAATCCAAGTTAAAGAAATCAGAAGGTAGAAAATCCGATAGCTCCCATACCAATCTGGAATAGTAACAATCTCGTAAAAGATGAATGGGCGTTTCAAGGGCATGCTCACATCGAGGGCACATTGGAGATGGAGCCATATGTCTGTCAAATCTAACAAAATTTGTAAGAACTCTGCCCCTCCTCACCGAACACTTTATTGTATGGGGTTGTCATACTATCATAAGAGCGCCCCTGCTGTACCAAAAAAAAAATAAGAGCGCCCCTGCATTCATGACTGATTCAGTCTGATTGTATATAATAAATGGTTTTTTTATATTATGACTTAAATTGTATTTTTTTTTATCATGAATTATGTATTAATTTATATAAAAAATATAAAAAATTAGTATTAGTTTAACATTTATGATACATGAATATTTTTTATTGAATAATTAATAAAATTAATATTAATTTTTAGTTTTATTATATATATTAATGATAAAAATATACAATAAATATACTCTTATCTTATATCTTAAGAGTATAATATAAAAAAAAATCCTATAATAAATACTGGTACTTACTTGGTGTTATATGGTAGAAGAAAGTAAATTGGATGTTGGATATTGTTTGGATATGGGGACAGAGGCCTATGAATGTATTGTTGTTTTTTTGGACATTGATTGGTGAAGAGATCGACCAGTTACAATTTGTCGAGGATCTTCCTCAATCCTCCTTACCTAGTCCCTCGTGCCTCCAGCTGTTCTGCAACATCAGAGGGTAATAGCGTGTCACATTTGGCAACCCCATGCAAGTTCCCCACATTGATCGAGTCAAAGATTCTAGATGTAAAATTTTTTTTTTTTGAAAATTCTAGATGTAAAATTTTGTGATCACCCATTTAATATGAAGGGGAAATTTTTTCTAAACAGCATTAATTAATGCATGGTGGTTAGTACTACTATGTATCTACCTAGAGGGAGCTCATGAATTTAAGAGAGTCATTAATTATTAATACACCATACTTTATCATAATCATAATCTTGAATTTAAGAGATTAACACATGCAACATACTCCTATTATCACGTGGGACACCACTTTTATGTAAGCAATATGAGTCTCAACTCCCAACGATCCCTCATAAATTAGCTACTAATAAGTTAGGTGTCTGTTCAATCAAAAAACACCGTCTCAGTTAAGGCTGCTTCCTTACTCTCCCATTTCCATTGAAATTGATCGTCATGGATGACGAGTCCCAATCAGTTCATCTATTAGCAAACCAAATTTTGAATGCAAAAGCTAACTACTTCATTGCTTAGCATATAATTAGCTATACAATTGTGCGACACCTGGCCCATCCTGTGCATTACATTAACTAGTGAGCCAGGGACAGTTGGAGAACTTATGTCGCCGCTTGATACTATTCGGCTATTCGCAGTTGAGAACAGGCTTCCCAGCTTTATAAATGGTCCAGCCATCTAACTCTTTACGTACCAGGCAAGCTTAGATTTGAGTTCCTTCTTCTCTCATTTTCTGCAGCATGCTCATGGCACCAATGGGATCTCGTCTTTTAGCCATCCTTGTTTCTCTTGCTGTGAGTCTGAAATCTGAATCTTCCATAGGATTTCATGTCATCCATTTAGTAATTTTGCACATGATGCAGTTTTGTATATGGGGACATTATTTTGCAGGTAGCACTGGTGGCAAGCCATGCTGTTCTCTCACCTGAGGTCTACTGGAAAACTGTGCTGCCAAATACCCCTATGCCAAAAGTTGTCACAGATCTCCTACACCCTGGTATTAAATTTTGTTATATATGCTCAAGAAAACTGCTTTATTCATCTCCTAATTATGCTTTTATAATGCATATTATGACATTCGCAGAGTTAACTGAAGAGAAAAGCACTTCCGTCAATGTTGGAAAGGGAGGTGTAAATGTCAATACAGGAAAGCCTAAGCCTGGAGGCACTTCTGTCAATGTTGGAAAGGGTGGAGTGAATGTTAATACTGGTAAAGGAAAGCCCAGAGATGGAGGTACTAGTGTGAATGTTGGAGGCAAAGGCGGGGGAGTATCCGTAGGAGCAGGAGGCAAGGGCAAGGGCAAGTCCGTGCACGTTTCAGTAGGGAAGAGCCCATTTGATTACAATTATGCTGCCACTGAGACACAACTCCAAGAAGACCCAAATGTAGCCCTTTTCTTCTTGGAAAAGGATTTGTATCCTGGAAAAGCCATGAAGCTGTATTTCCCTCAAAATAGAGAAACAGCAACCTTCATACCACGTCAGGTTGCAGAAAAAATACCTTTTTCGTCTGAAAAGTTCCCAAAAATCTTGGAGCAGTTTTCCGTGAAACCTGGATCAGAGGAAGCTGAGATCATGAGGAACACAATCCAGGAGTGTGAACAACCCCAGATTCAAGGTGAGGACAAGTATTGTGCAAGTTCGCTAGAGTCCATGATTGACTACAGCACTTCCAAACTCTGGAGAAATGTCCAGGCAATCTCTACAGAAGTGGAAAAACAAACACAGATGAAAGAGTACACAATTGAAGCTGGTGTAAAGAAAACGGAAGGTGACAAGGCGGTAGTTTGCCACAAGCAGAATTATGCATATGCCGTCTTCTACTGCCATGAATCAGAAACTACAAGGGCTTACATGGTTCCTCTAAAGGGTGCTGATGGAACAAAAGTAAAAGCAGTAGCAGTATGCCACACAGATACATCAAAATGGAACCCCAAACATTTGGCTTTTCAGGTCCTTAAAGTTAAGCCCGGAACCGTTCCTGTCTGCCATTTCCTTCCTCAGGATCACATTGTCTGGGTTCCTAAGTAGAAAGCCTGCAGAATATATCAGTTCCTTAGTTTATAATAATGTACCTAAACTTGCGTCATGATATATGTTTGGTTATATATGCACTTAATAACGTCTTATGTATTCAGAACAGTATTATGGTTGGATGTTGGATTGAATCTACTAGAATTTCATATTTCCTAATGAAAACTGCATAAGAAACGCAGAAAATAGCCATCATCAAGAAATACTAGAATGGAAAAAGGACCCTTCTATAGCTAGATCCCCTTCAAAAAAGAAGCTATATTTGATATTAGAAGATCTTTAATTGCTTACGTCATTTTCAAAGTTAAAGATGAGATCAAACACATGTAACTTATCAAGTACCGTAAGCAACAAAGATTGCGTTCAATCAATTTCTGCTCATCTGCTCTCTATCTCCAGTATAATTTCTTTCTCTCCCTGTGATCCAAGAACTGGGACACAACATCTATACCTAGATCAGTTGAGACAAGACTCTCAAACAATCACTTAATAGCATATGAAACTTAGTTGTAATTGGTGAGCTAAAATCTAGCCCATTAACCCCTCAAACAATCACATAGTATATTCTTATCAATGCTAAATTGATACATGTCAGCAGAAGAGCCCTATAGAAAGAAGCTATCAGCTCAAGACTGATATAACTCCACGCTACCCTGATTTCAAACAGAAAATTACCTGAGAAAATGGAAGTCGCAGCTTGTATCTGGGCTTTTGAATTTTCATTACTGTTTCCAAGTTCTGTTGTTTTGGCAAGAGTAGAGCATATACAGAGCCAAACAATTTTATTTTTTCTTTTAGCTAAGGTTACCGGATACATTAAACATAAAAATTGAACCATCGACATGAAAAATAGTATGTCAACACATAACTGTACATTCAACATGAGAGGGGAGTTGAAAGACCAAATTCCTTTGCGAAAGAAAAAGAAGGCATTGAAAGAAGCACATCACATTTACAACATTTCAAATATATTTTGATAAGTTGAACAAATCCACAGGCAAGGTGTAGTTGCCTTGCTAGTAAAGCCAACGAGTAAAAGCAATAGTAGAAAAAGAAAAGAATTATATATCTCATATTATATAAACTTTGATAAAAAACATTTATTCAAATTTTGGTAAAAATAAAAATCTCATTGAATATATATCTTTTTTTTTTCCTGGACACATCTCAATGGATATATCTTTTTTAGCTATTTAGTTGCAAAAATGAAGGCAACATTTACATGTTTTTGCTTTTTAATTTCTTAATTTTTTTCAAAAAAAATTCAAGTACTAGCAACCCTTCTTAATTCAATTTTATTTGTTTTATTTTTTAATTTTTGATATTCAAATTTGTTTATCTATTTTTAAAATTTTTTTAAAAACATATTATACTTAATGCCTTTATTTCTACTTTATCCTTATTTTTTAAAAATAATTACAATGCATTTTATTTTACCTCTTAAATACAACACATATTATAATAAATATACTTATTTTATAAAAAAATTTAATAAATATACTTATTTAGGTTCTGCTCGCAGTTAATTAGATTAAAAAATTTAAATACTAATTACTTACTTTTAAATTTTAAAAAATTATAATTAAAAACTAAAACCCAAATAAAAATTTATTAATATAATAAATGCATATCAATTTTTTATTGTGGAAAAATGCATACCAATTTAAGTGTCATGAAGTAATTAATTTTTTCATTTGTTTTGTCCAACTACATACATTTTGGTTTTTTTGGTTAGTACCCAAAAAAAAAAAAAATCATTGATTGGATGAAAATTGAACTTTGATCAACATATTTCAAAAGGAACGGAGCAAATCAAGAGATTAGTCAAAACAAAAATACAGTCCATCCCAATCCACGGGGAAACTCCGCTATTTCGAGCTGCTGTCTAAATTCAGGACGGGAGGAGCCCGCATGCTCGGAGAGGAAAGGGGGAGATTCCTTCACCTTCGACTAGGGTTTTCCACTCCAAAACCCACCGCGGTGCAAGTGAGTTTCCCGCTAAGTCATCACACTTTTTTCACCGCCTCCACCGCTCCATTGCAGTAGCTGTTTATGGTGCCATTGTTTCATATGCAAGATTTAGGGTTCTTTGAGTGCCTGTTTGTTTCTCTGGAAAATAGAGAAATTTATGGCCGGAAATTGTAATATGTATGAGTTTCGGTGTGCGAAATGACCTTGTATGATGGTGTTATATGGATTGTCTTTTACGTTTTGCCTGCCCATGAAATTAGGGTTTCTAGATTACTCTGAAAATCGTTGTTTCCCAGTAACTGACGATTTTATTGATGCAAAATCAAAATTTGGCAATTAAATCGGGGGTAAAGTTTTTGTTTTTCATCGAAATGGTATACTCTTGATATAAATTGAATGACTTTCTGTTACGAATTTTCTTCCCCTTGAGAAATTTCCAAAACAAGATAGGTTCCATGGAAGAGTAATTCTTTTGCCGTTGTTTGAGTGACTACGTGCTGTTTCATTTCATTTTCAGGTTTTGTTGCAAACTGAGGATAGGTCATCCATAGTTCTATGGCAACATGGTAGATGTTGAGAATCTTGAATTTAAGTGGGGTAAAAAGAGGGGAGTTGGTGGGAAAAAGAGAGATGTCCGGTTTTATGAGTCTTTTACATATGATGGTGAGGAGTACAGACTCTATGACTGTGTTTACTTCTTTAAAGATGATGAACCTCTGCCTTATATTGGCAAAATTATAAAGATATGGGAGAATCCTGACAAGACAAAGAAAGTGAAGGTTGTGTGGTTTTTCCAACCTCATGAGATAACCTGTTATCTTGCTGCTGAAGAGGCACTGGAGAATGAATTAGTTTTGGCAACTGGGGAAGGTTTAGGCCTTACCAACATCAATCCTCTGGTAATTGAAAACTAAAGAGTATTTATGCATTTTTTTCCATACACTAATATTCTATTGTCTTCTATAGTTGTAATTTGTTGCTGATTATCAGTTCATCCTCTCATAATTGCAAGTTCCGACTATGATGGTATATGAGGAATAGAGCATATTTGATAGCATACTTTTTAATGTATATTGGTCAATAGACATGTAATTTTGTTATTAAGTGATATTTAAAGAAGCCAATAATATCTAATACCACGTGTAGTTCATTTGGAAGTTTTGATATACATACAGCTAAGCCTCTTCTGATTTACTATCCATCAAAACAGGAAGCAATTGCTGGGAAATGCAATGTAGTTTGCATTTCAAAGGATAGCAGAAATCGACAGCCCTCAATTGAAGAGCGCCAACTGGCTGACTATGTTTTTTATCAAACTTTTGATGTTGGGCAACGTACCATCTCAGATAAGATTGATGAAAAGATTGCTGGGATTGAAGGTATGCATTTTTTCACTATCCAATTCTCCTTTATTTTGATTTTTATTTCATTGCCTCTTGTTTCTATTTTTAATATTCTTTTTGCATGTGCTTTTGGATGTAATGGCTGCAGCTAAATATTTTTTTAACCGAGAGGGCTTTTTGAAACCAAGTGCTGATCAGAAATCTGGTGGAGCTGGTAAAGAAGATACAATTGGAAAACAAATTCCTGAACAGCCAGATGGTGATATGAAGGTTAGCTTATCTGTTATACATGACAAGGTTGCTCCTGTTGTACAAGAAGTGGGAAGTGAAATTGCTGGAACTGATAAGAAGGATAGCTTATCTGGTCTCAAATCAAGTTCTAAAATTGATTCTGATGTAAGAGAGGGTAATGTTGGTAAG